CCGGGACCCCGCGCAGCGGCCAGAGGAGGGGGCTTCCCCGGAGGATGCCTGGCGGCAGCGCCCGGCTCCTACTCGTGAGCTGAGCCGGACCCAGAGCGGGCGGCGTGTCGCCATGCCGGCGTGACGGTCGCCCCCGGCTTCCCGCGCGGGCCCCCGCGCTGCCCCACGCCGCGCCGCGCCAGCGCCGGGCGGCAGGATGGGCTGTATCCAAAGCATCACCTGCAAGGCGCGGATCCGGCGCGAGAACATCGTGGTGTACGATGTGTGCGCCACCATCGACCAGTGCCCCACGCGCATCGAGGAGACCTCGCCCATCGTCCTGCGCTACAAGACTCCCTACTTCAAAGCCTCGGCCCGCGTGGTCATGCCCCCCATCCCCCGCCACGAGACCTGGGTGGTGGGCTGGATCCAGGCGTGCAACCAGATGGAGTTCTTCAACACCTACAGCGACCTGGGCATGTAAGCTACCGGCCGCGCAGAGCCGGAGCGGGGTCCCTGGCCCCCGTCTATTCTCCCCACCCGGACCCTCCTCCCCAGATCCTTCTTACAGCTCTCTCTATCCTCTTACTAAACCTTCCTCCCGCCTCCTCTTCCACCTCCCTCCTCCCTACGCTTTTGTTTCAGTGACAGAGCGGGTGTTGGGAGGCTCCTTACGAAGGCATTTTCTTGTGGTTTGCTTCTGACTCCCCCTGAACGCGAGGAGAACGGTGCGGGGCGGGAAGAACGCGACAAGGAGGGTTCGAGAGTCAGAGGTGGGGGTGGCAGGCGAGTGCCCTGGGAGTTTTGGGGCGCCATCAGTGTTTTGTGGGGCTTCCCAGGAAGAGTTTTGGGGGACGTGTGTAGTGGAGTGCCGGGGGCGCATGGACTATGCCGAGCGTCCTTTGGAGAAACCAGAGCGGGCTTGGAGGAGAAGGTCCCGGGCGACGTAGTGGGACTTGGTAGTTCTGCTCTTGTTCCTTCGACTGTTGAATTCGAACCCTTGCCCCCCAGGCCAGGAAGCCTAGAGGCGTTTCCCTCCGGAACCGCAAACCCGGCAGAGGCGCCTCTGGCTCAACGCTCTCTGGACGAGTCCTGGGGCATTGGGGAGCCGGAAGGCACCGGGCTCATGCCAGCCGAGCAGGGCTGATGGCCTTGTGCGAGCAGCCTCTGGCTGGCGCGGCGCGGTGTCTCTCTTATGCTTAAGGAAAGTACGGGTCTCTTGTTAGTCTAGGGTCTTTACTTACTCGAAAACTTTACGAATTGCGGCACTAGAAGGGATTCCCCGGCGCCCACCGCCGAATCCTGTCAGCAAGCTGGGAGCTCTCCAACTTCTTTCAGCAGCGCCGCTCGGTGCGCGCCGGGCTCGGCGGCTGCGGTGGAGACCCAGGATCGCGGCGACTCCTCGGCCACCAGGGGCCGACAGCCTGTCCCGGAACCGCAGGCTGCGGGCGGTCGCGTCCAGGACTTTATTTGCTAAACGTTCATAATCCCTCTTAGCTTCTTTTCAGAAGTAGACTGAGCAGTTGGCAACTACAATGGCTAAAAGCTTTGGGGTCTGTATTCTGCCTGCTGTTACAGTGTAGGTGTGGAGCACCCTAATTAGCTTGCAGCTTATAAGGAAACCTTTTTCTGGAAATTAAGCCTCATTTCATTTATTAATCTAAAACTCTAGAGCTCTCAAGGTTCATCTACTGAATATGGATATAGGGTGGGGGAGTTTCCATTTTTAAAGGTCAAACCATCTTTTTAGCAGCAGTTTGTAGGTTTTTTATTGCACTCTGAGAGCATGTAAGTTAACACTAGTCATAGGTACTAAAAGGAATTTTGACAAGTCGCTTCCCCCCCCACCCCAAACCAAGAGTTTGAACTTTTCTCTTTAAGCGTGAAAGCTGAGGGCTGGAGAAAGCTCATTCCTAGTGAAGATGTGTGAGAGCCCAGTTTCCTCTATGCCTCTGCACACTATGTTCTTGTCTTTCTGGAAGGCAGCTGGATGTGAGAAATGGGGGACATATTATTTTGGGTGAATCATGCCATTTAAAAGCAGACACACCCTCAAAAGAATGATTGTATCTGAACACATGTGTCTCTTGAAGCTGTTTTTCTTAGAAACCCGTTATTTCCAGCCAAGTCAGAGAAAACCCCAGACAGGGCTGGGGCACCCTCCCTTCTGTCTCCCTGGCCTGGCCCTGATGGTGATGTGCAATCTTCGGGGGGCGGGGGGCAGTAATTGCAGCCTGGAGCCCCGGTAGAGGAGGCCAGGAGGAACTGAGCAGAAACACCCTCACTTTTGCCAAGACTGCACAGCCAGAGCTCTCTGTTGCCTCACATTTGTTGTAAAGCAGTAAATCAAAAGCAAATAAAAAAATAGTTGTGTCCATAAAAGAAAATATAGTCTACCTCAGGAGAAGCGGAGTTGAGGTATGAACAGACATGGTAGTTGAACTTCCTTGAATCTGTGGGAGGGCGTGTCCACATTGGAACCAAGTTTAATGGGCGTGAATCCGTGCCAGCTCTGAGGGACGTGTATTCCCCGTCCCTTCCTTGCTGAATTCTTGCCTTTGGGGTTTAGAAAGAAGTTTTGTGTTTAAACTGCCACTTTCAGTATTTTAAGATTCTTGGTTTTCATGTTGTTGATGCAGGGGGCCCAAAAATAGTCCCCAAGAAATCATGAAGCATATTATTATAGATCCATGTCCACTGTCTACCTGTTGCAATAATTGCTATGTGTTTAAGGCCACTTTGGAGCCCAGATTTGATGGCACCAATTTCCACAAAATGTTTATTCCCTGAAAACTTTCCCAGTGTAAACTGTTTAATGGGAACTCGTATTGCATGAAAGTCGCTGCAGACTATTTGTTATTATGTCCACTTGAGCCAGTACCTTGAATGGAACAAACACCACAGGCTGAATTTTCACCCCTGTGCAATGCTCTCGTTACATGAAGCATGATGTGATGAGAGGGTGTAGGGTAGAAAGCTGCCTTTTCAGATTTTAAAAGGGACTATGCCAGAGGAAATCCACAACTTAAAATAGCAAGAAACCTCTAGCTACAGGCTTAAAAGAAAACACGAACATTTGTGGCTTAAGTTTTCAGCATTTCCAAGAAGGGGTAGGCTTCTAAAGGAGCATTTGAAATAGTTGATGATCATAATGGCCCCAGCTTAATTTGAACTTGAACTCAAGTGACTTGGAACTTCCTCAAATGATTCTGTAGAAACCAGGCTGGTGAATACTTGTGGCACATATTTATTCCTCATTTGGCCCTGGTGAACCCTGCTAATGCAGCCCTGATGAGACCGCTGCAGGTCTTCATTCTTCAGGGAGAAAGGGCTACTGGCTTTCTCAATCAACCCAGCCATAAACAAATATTTACCAAGTGCCTCTGGTGTACGGGCAGCACCAAAGAAAACAAAGGAATAAGCAGTCAGTTTCACTGTTCCTCAACGTAGCAGGTGTGGACACATGCAGAGAAAGCCAGTGCTCCCAAGCAGTGTAGGAGAAATGCTGGAGAGAGGAGTGGGGAACCAGGCAGGGTTCTCTAGAGGTGTAAGGGCTCGAGCTGGACTAGAGGTATGTATAAGATTCAGCTAGGCAAGAAGGAGGGACTAATTCTAAAGTGGAAAAACAGCAAATATATGGAGGTAAGAAAATATAAGGGGTTTTAAGGGGGCATAAGTAGGCTGGAGTGGAGCTTTCAAGTTGGAGAACATTGGGAGTTGAGGTCCGAAAGGTAGGCTGAGGTCTGTTGGGGAAGACCTAGGACAATATGATCTGGAAAGGATGAGGCGGAGGTCAGGTCTTCTTAAGCAGACAGAGTGTCAGGTGCCTTTACGTACCTTCTTCATACCTCCTGGACGTGCAGACCTTTTCAGTAGAGGCACAAGACGTTTATGATGGAACGGTTTTGAGTGCTCGAGTACAACACCCAAGAGGTTTCCTGAGTGAGGTCTAAACAAGGAATGGGGCTCGTGTGCCAAGGGTGAAGGAAGTGAAGCTGAGGTCATCAGGAGAGCCAGCAATGGCTAAAAGCCCTTCCCACTTTCTCTGAGCCCATGTTCATTGTCTTCTAGAGCTGTAAGGGAACTCTCTGTGGTCAGCCCAGGGCTGATGGTATGGAAGCTATCTCAACTGCCAATTTGAGAACCTTGGCCTGGGTGAAACTTGAGGAGGTCATAGCTCACTCCTCCTCTTCAGGAGACAGCTCCTGCCTGTCTCTCGTCTCCTTCAGAGCCAGTGTTATTGAGGATTTGGCTCTACCCACCCACCTCTGTTGCCTGTTCAGTTCAATCCAAGCTGGTTCCTATCCATTCTGAAAATGTTCTTGCTGAGTTCGTCTGTGATTTCCACCTTGCCAAATCCAGCAGACACTTTTGAGAGACACTCACCTTTCCAGCAATATTCCACGTGGTTGACAGCTTCCCCTGTCTTGAATCACTCCCATCTTTTAGCTTTCGTGCTATTTTTCTAGCTGTTTCTCTAGCTTCCCTCAAAATACAGTTCATCAGGACATTTTTCTTCTCATTCTGTACTCTCCTTGGGTAATTTCATCCGTCCCCGTGGCAGCAGATGCTCTGTGATGTGCAGTCACCTGCAGCTTAGGTGTGTGTCTATGCACAATTTCCATTTGGCTATCTGAAAGACATCTCAAGCTTAATGTATCCAAACCTGAACTCTTGATTGCCACTACAGCTCCCACTGAAAATCTGTACCTTCACCATTCTTCCCCATCTTAATAAATAAAACCTCTAGTCCCTGAGTTGCTCAGGCTGAAACATCTGTGTGTCGTCCTAGATATTTCCCCACACATCCAGTCCATCATCACATCCTACTGATCCCATCTCCAAGATAGATCTGTAATCCAGCCACACTCTCCGCTTCCGCCCATATCATCTTAGGACGTGTCGTTATCAACTATCCCTTGCTCCCATAGAAGCTTTCTAATCAAACCTGCCACCTGCATTCGTGTCCTCCCTCCAGTCTGTTCCCCACACAGCAGCCAGAGTGATATTTTAAAAAAAGTAAGTGTTGCGCTTTCCTGCTTAAACACTTTAAGGACTTTCCATTGCAATTGGGTTGAAATTTGTAGCTCTCTTCCCGCTGTCTGAATTTCTGTTCTTAAGCCATGTCAGCCTTTTTCCATTTCCTCAAAGGAACCGACTTCATCCCAATTCAGAGCTTGCTGCTCTTTGTCTGAAATGTTCTCCTTGCCTGCCCTTTTCTAGCAAACTCCTACTCCTCATTCAGGTCTCAGCTGTTACCTCCTCAGAGAGGCCACCCCTGATTTCAAAGTTTAAAGTAGGGTTTCCCTGTTCTCTTTAATAATGCGCTATTCTTTTACTCGTTACAGTTAGTAAGAATATGATTGTATGTTTATTTAACATCTGATCCATCTACTAGAATTTAAGCTTCATGAAAGCAGATATTGTGTCCAGTTTATTCTCTATGAACAGCGCTTGGCCTGTAGCAGATGTTCAATAAA